ACATTAAATCTTGGATGACTGAAAATTAATTAAAGCATAGAATTACTCATGAGTGAATGGCAAAACGTACACCTTTTACTATTCATGAAAATTAACATAAGTGCAGCGCTGTACATGTGTACTGGCAATGAAACCGATTGCTGGCGTCCACGTGAAATTTATTCGATTTACTTCACGCCAACAGTGGGTAAACCAGCACTTTCCCGTGCTGTTTCCAATACACAATGAGTTGAGATCTCTAATTGTAACATGTGGAAATCAGAACCAAATCACAACAAACATGAATTCGCCTTCAAAAAATTGTAGTAATATAAATTTTCATGGCATTACCTTCGAATTTTATTAATACTGGGTGAATGGTAAATTGCATATACGTCGGGCATATTCATGTCTCCATCTTAACTTTTACCAATCATGATATTCCTTGCCGCTTTATTAAGTATTTTCCAAATAAACTTGCACATAATGACGAAAATTTAGATTAATCTTTCAATAATTTTTCAATATACTTATATTATGTTTTTCTCCTACATTTAATTTTATCTCAAATAAGAATTTGTTTCATAGGAGTTATAGGCAATATGCATAAAAACAAATATTGTTTTTAATTTTGTTGTTGGATATTCCATACGGTAGACAAAATCAGATTATTAGTATCACTAATAATTACTCATACATAATCAAAATACAAACCTTTTTATTAATGACATCGGTGATGCTTTGAACGGCCTTCGTATCGTTTATTCACTCATTCATAGAATATAAAATATAGACTATTGTTTATAGAAAATGTGCCTCACCAGCCTAAATTTAATTTACTGCTATACGATTGTATGTTAAGCAAATAACATGAAAGGTGAGCCAGGTGGAATTTGGGGAAAATGCGTGCATTTTTAAAATATAACTTCAAACTAATATTATAAATTATAGCCACGGTTACTAGAAAATTATATTGTCGAAAAGTGTGAATTGGTTTAAATTCAGGTTGTTGCGTGTCGAAAATCGTAACCCAAAATATAACACTTGAATTGTATTAATGTTAACTTTATCTGCATCTCGGGTACAAACTTTCAAATCCTACACATAAGTGTACCAATGAGCCAACAAGAATACATTAGCATGAAAGACTTGTCTATTGTATCTATTTAGTTGCTTTGTTTATTCCAATATTTACTGAGCCACGCTATTTAAAAAAATTACGTAATCGACGAAAGAATGCATTAAAGCGCACTTCCTGGGAACGCATGCTCACTCGCAGTAAGCGAAATCGCTAACAAATGATATTTTTTGTCATTAGTCTATTAGTCTATCCTCATCCTCAATTGACATATTGGAAACATCAGTTCATGACATTAAATCTTAGATGACTGAAAATGAATTAAAGCTTAATGATGACAAAACTGAAGTGCTGCTTATGAGATAAAAATTCAGCCGCCTGTCACGCCCCATAAACCACATCTCTGTTGGGTCAAGTACAATCCAATTGGCAGAGTCCGCACGCAACATTGGAGTCATCTTTGATCTTCACTTCGCCTTCAAGAAACACATAGTTGCAACAAGTAGTTCTATCTTTTTCACTTTCGTCATCACTTGGATCCAAATGCAGGCCAATGATTGGTATGCGATCAGATGTAAACGTCTTCATCTGATCTTTGATTACTCTTGCCATTGCATTAGATTTCTTATTCAGTTGCGAGAAAGTCAGTTAATTACTCATATATACTACAGTAACTGCAGTCTTGTCTGCATCTTGTATTCCGGCTATATACTCCAGGACATCGTTGAGTGTAGATGACGGCATTCCATAAGGGGCAGGTACTTTTGGTCCCGTATGATACTTGCATTTTCTTCTTCCCCAACTTTGCTAAGAGACATTGTAAGTTATAAATCAGGTAGAAATATTGAATGAGAGAAGTAATAAATACGTGATAATGAAGGTAGCAGGTATAACCGTTAATAACAGAGCTGTTGCATTTATAAGTAAGGTTTCTGGAAGTATTAGAAAGGTCAATGCCAAGTGCATGTGTTATGCATAGAATTACTCATGAGTGAATGACAAAACGTACTCTACACCTTTTACTATTCATGAAAATTAACATAAGTGCAGCGCTGTACATGTGCACTGGCAATGAAACCGATTGCTGGCGTCCACGTGAAATTTATTCGATTTACTTCACACCAACAGTGGGTAAACCAGCACTTCCCCGTGCTGTTTCCAATACACAATGAGTTGAGCTCTCTAATTGTAACATGTGGAAATCAACACCAAATCACAAAAAACATGAATTCGCCTTCAAAAAGTTGTACTAATATAAATTTTCATGGCATTACCTTCGAATTTTATTAACACTGGGTGAATGGTAAATTACAAATACGTCGGGCATATTCATGTCTACATTTTTACTTTTACCAATCATGATATTCCTTGCCGCTTTATTAAGTATTTTCCAAATAAACTTGCACATAATGACGAAAATTTAGATTAATCTTTCAATATATTTTCAATATACTTATATTACGTTTTTTTCCTACATTTAATTTTATCTCAAATAAGAATGTGTTTCATAGGAGCTATGGGCAATATGCATAAAAACAAATACTGTTTTTAATTTTGTTGTTGTATATTCCATACGGTAGACAAAATCAGATTATCAGTATCACTAATAATACTCATATATGTACAGTGATTATTGTTGCACGTACCAAAGCAACCAGTGAGTATTAAAGAATCTCATTGTTACATCGACTGAATACTTAGATATGTGCGTGTTCGGCTGTCCAATGTATCTATTAATTGATTATCCGGTTCCATATCCAAGAAAAGTCCTCGTCCTTGGAATATTATCCCATGCGTAATGCAAAACCGATTTCAGGCACTCGTACATAATGTCTTAAATTATGTTTAGGAAAAATACCATACTAGTGTACATCACACTTATACACCTTAAAAACAGCCACACAATAAACGTTAGCCGAGGACGAGGACTTTTCTTGGATATGAAGCCCAGTCCAAGATAACATGTCGCGAGTGCAGGCCAAAAACCAATGCCCGACGTCCTGCTACGGATAGTTGTCAGATCCATGTTGTATGAGCTCAGAGTTCGAACCTAGCCTGGTGTCTCTCTAGTGTAATAACACTTGGCCAGACTTTCATCATTGATGTCACGTGATTTATATACAAATCATTATTTTCTACCCCAATGAGAGTTTTGTTTTTAATTTTTGTTGAGAGAGCATTGTTTGTCTTACAATTGAGCCTGGAGTGAAACGCTTGATTTCAGCCCATAATAATTTTTTTTCCCCAAAATCCTCTAGTCCCCCATATTTCAAATGAGTCACTCTTTACCAAGAACATGCCCGTTGCTACACTTCGTTGGTGGTTATTTAAGATGGCGGATATCAATTTTCTTCGACTTTGCGAGCATCTAACACATGAATATATTGTTCATATCAATGATTGTATTACTATATGCTCCAATGACTTTATTGGATTTACCTTTATTAACCTTGAATTATCTGTTAATATAATTGCGTTATGTTTGGATTAAAACTCGACTCTATATAGGGTTGCGAGTTTTAAGTAGAGTTTAATCAAATAAAAATGCAAAAAAGTAGAAACATCATATATCCTGTGACTTAACATAGAAATGTTTGCACTACTTAGGGTTAAAAAAAGTGGGTAGATATGGTACAATTATATTAATTTATATTTATTATAAACTGTACCATCCCGCATCCCTTTACTAACCGTAAGCTACGCAAAAAGTATTTATGAGTTTAATTAATTATTAATATAAACTCTTTCACGAGGACTGTTAAAAATGTCCTCGGAAAGTGTGTATGTACTCGGAAGTTGGTATATATCTGTATTTTTGTTCTCACAACATTACCAAAGTAAGTATACAGACACGCACGCATATTGCCCCCACAAACATGTGTTATTATTCTCACTGTCGTTACGCATGCTGTGAGTTATTGCTTATATTATACCAGTATATAATTCGATAAAACAAGTAAAAGAGTTTACTTGCATCTAGATCATGATGGCCCTTGAACATGAATATTTATAAAAAACAGTGTGTAGTTGTACACAGAATGCACACACAAAAAATACACACACAACACAGTTTAATGAAGCAAATATGTATGGCGAAGCCGCCACTGAAACGTCACATCCGGGAACAGCTGCGGCGCGTTCTACGCTCTGCGCATTTGTACCTATTCCACGCCAATGGTCATTCAGAACGCTCGCTAAGTGACTTCCGTTACGTTTGTGAGAAAGTCAATGCAGTCACTTCCACCGCACACTGACATTTTTATATCGCGAATGGTGAAATAACTTAGGTTTGAGAATTTCTCAATTTATTTAAATAATTTTATACTCGATAAATTGAGTGATTCGAGCTGATGAAACATCGTTATTTAAAAAAAAGAGTAAACCGTGACTGAAAATAACATTTATTGTGTTTTTCAAAGTTTTTCCAGCAAACAATGTATGTCTGTATGCTAGCTCTTGAGTGATGTGTAACATGAAATAAAATTACTACGATATATAACTCATTTGACGCTTATGTGATGCATAGCTAAAATTATCATTATAACGATATATAACGCATAACGTCTATTTATGTACCCATAAATAATCCGGTGGTTTAGTATATTATATTAATTTATTGTCGTTTATATATTGTGTGATAGAATAAATGTTCAGAACTCCTGTCGGAGATTGTGGCGATTCAAACATTCAATTCATATCTACAGAACGTATATAACCACGTCAAATTGACTTAGACATATGTACGTTGTTTAGACGTGACGTCGCAATCAGATTATGCATCGACGATGATGCAACCTGATGTTGTTCCAACTAGAAATTATAGTCAATGTTAGGATTTGTTCCAAGTGATGCCAACTTTATTTCAACAAATTTTGCTAGCTGATGTAACATCGTTATTTAAAAAAAGAGTAACCGTGACTGAAAATAACATTTATTGTGTTTTTCAAAGTTTTCCAGCAAACAATCCTTTGATTTGGAACTCGCTTATCTTCTGAATATCCGCGTCATATACCTTGAACACCTCTTTCACCGATGGCCGTTGTTTCAACCGCTTAAAGTATTCCGTCACAAATGGGTGCTTTCCGTCCTCCCAGTAAGAGCTGAAACCAATAGCGCCCACTTTCTTCAGAAACACCACGAGGTATATATCAGCCGAGGAGAAGTTGTCAGTCATGAAGTATTCTACTTTTTCACCTGTCGAAATAGTTTAATTAATGATCATTGTGAAAGATGGGTAAGGTTGGCATGATGGCAGTATAAAATGAACGACCAGAAAAATGTTCATATTCTCAATGGAGCATGTTAATTGTATATGAGGTAAAATCATTTTTTCAAGATAAATAACAAATTATATTTTAGAATCTGTAGTAGTAATATTTTATGAAAAATGTACGTCAACGTTCCCACAGTAAATATTTGCGTATGTGTTTCAGGTTTATGTTGGTTATATTACATCATGTCTATTCACCTTTATCTGCTCTATCCTGAAACTTTTCTTCAGCAGTATCCACGATGTTCTTCACTTTCTCTAGAACATCCTTGAATACTTCTTCAGTTGGGTCATACTCAACAATATTGTCTTTCTTTCTTTCATACAATTCTGTCAGCTCCGGGTGTTTTCTGGCGTTTTCAGCGGCCCGAGATGGGATGATTTTATGACCGACTTTATAAAAAAACAAGAAAATATTTTGTAAAGGTAGCACATTGACACGTCGCATGTTAAAATATTGTCGTAACAGGTTAATGACGCATTGCTTACCCATCCAAATGTTTTTACAGCAGTTGTGATCCCATAATCCAAATTTTGGAACATATTTTGGATATTTATAGCATCCACCAACAAGAGTTCCTAGGAAATAACTGTCTACCAATTCTTCAAACTGTTTGATTTGATCATACAGTGGAGATTGCTTGTCAGGGTATAATGACACAGCTGTAATATGACATGGAAACACATGAATCAGTCGTTAATGTCTATTCTCATCGTTGTAAGTTTAATATTCCCTGAAATCGTAATTTCTTTTCACGTGTCTGACACAACACTCCATTTTTTTAGCAAAAACGATCATAATGTTACAGCCTACGCGATAAACAAACTAAATATTTTGACATCAAAATGGTTCAATTTTCACTTGTGAAAAAAATAAAAAGTAAGGCAACATGGTTTCTCTGTGATTTTGAAAACTGACTTCTTTTGTAATCCGATGGTAGTTCCCACCAAATTACAATAGTTCTAATATTAATGTGTTGTTTGAATAAAAACGTATTACCTAATTGTGACGTCATACTATACTAATAAATTAATGACATGTGATAACAGAATCTTGTTTACAACAAGCGTTCTGATGGTCAAAATAGTTTTGCTGCATTGAGAATTCACAAAATAAAATACATCACTATATTGCATTGGTAACAGATACTGGTAAAAACAAGTAACCTGTAGAATGCTGTGTGGGTAATATTTTTATCTTGATTTTTGTTGCATTTGCAGCAAATAGTTACCAAACAATGAGAAATCTATAGGATTGAATATACCTCTCGACTGGCTTCACATGCATAGTTCAAGCCTGTCTAACCGGTGCTTATACAAGGGTTTAATTACAGCACCTAGACGGTCTGTGGTGAAAGCTTTATGTTCAGAGTAATTACCCTTCACTGTGAAGGACAATATGGGAGTTGACTTAAATGACGGGTGGAAGCAAGGCTGGTAAAATTTTGCGAAATAGTAGTTTGTTAGAATTACCAGACACGCAATCGAGACATTGAGGGATATCGAAATATTGATGATAAACAGCAAGTAATATTTCCAGAGATATAGTAGGAATTGAAGCAAAGGAGTGGCCTATTAACTCATGAAACTAGCCCTGAGTACAGTCCTGCCTCCTTCCGTTGATCATTCGGCCCCTACAGTCCTGAGAAGTCGCATAGACCGAGGATTCGACACCCGCCTACAAATTTATGGCGGAAAACCGTTCTGCAGTTTTCATGATTGTAACCAGCTAAAACATCTATCGACTAATCTAGCGATCACAAATACCTTTTTTGTGAGTGGAAAATGAACCTACAGCACTGGAACGTTGGCGAAAGCTAGTTTTACGCAACGAAAGAAGTATTGGAATAGCCTATTTGTAAACTCGCTAGCG